AGTCAGTATTATTACCATGGGCTTTAGTTTGATTGCAGTGATAAACAATTAGCATTGAACATTCTGTGTTAGTCTGTTATCAGAGTTTTTAAACGCCAAGTGGATAAATCAGGCGCACCAACTCAGATTACTGCGTTTATATCACCTGTTCATCCCTAGATTTTCACATTGCAACTCGTGTTCTTAATAGGTACGACGTGCCACCTTTATCATTTGCACCATCTCTCTTAAGCCCGGTGAAAGTCGGCATATTCAATCTAAATGTAAATGGCATATTCAATCTAAAACGCCATTACGAAATCAAGCATAGTGTTTCGTTTTTATAATGAAATAAATTTTCTGAAATGTCTGGACCCCAGTAATTTTGAACTTCTGTGAACGGACCTTTAGTGAAAATAGTTGAGTAGCCCTGCCCTACGGGAGTACCCAAAGTTGAGCCATGGCTAACTGAGTTTTGGTTCAACTTCAATTTCGACATCAACCTAATCACTGAGCTAAGTCTCACCAACAGTCAGTTGTATATGAGTCGCTGACTCAGGTCACTTTAAGTCTCTGACAAATGGTCCAGCCTTTTCCTAGGACTGATTTCAACTCATTATTTTTAGTTTGTGATTTAAAGATAGTTTAGGACCCATGCGCTAACCACTAAGCCATTGATTCAAGTTTAGTATTATCCAGTTCGAAATTGTTTTGGTTTAAGATCAGGTTTATCTATGTTTAGAATGTTTCAAAAATAATGTGAAGACATTTAAAGTGAATATTGTATTCAAGTGGAAAAAATTCAGTGTTCCTATTTTTGTTATTATCATAATTGTATATATCTTTTCTTCTATAGGCGATTATGGTAGATATAACTCGGAAATTATACATATTGAATAGTACCTTCAGTTTGAATTGTATAGCCAGCACATCTAGTTATTGAAATTGGGAACACTATTATCAGGATAGGTTTCATGAATTTAATAGTTTTTGTTTAATTTTAATACTTAGTCCCTGATTTTTGAGTAGACAAGTACACTTGTGGGCCATCCGAGTCTCAATTCATGTTTGAGTCTGAACATGAGTTGAATCACTGGGCAAAGTCCACCTAGAAGTTAGCCTAATATGAATACAAGTCATCTTATAATTTCACCGGATACAATCATATAGTTTCAGTAACTCTTGGTATTCCAGTGACTGCCGTGAACTTAATTAATAGACCATAAAATATACTCATAATACCGCAAACAATATATCAGTGTGACAGTGTCCTCATGTTTTGAATCACCTTAATCTTAAGTATACTTTCATTGCTTTGCCTTCTCTAGGTGATATTTACCGTAGCTGAAATTTTGAAATTTTTTGAATCCTATTTATAAATAAACCATTGACTTTCACAGTTTATTTGGATGGAGTAGTCTAGCTATTTATGAAGAAAAACTATTTGGAGTCCTGAAATTACTGAGGACTGTTTATGTTTTATGAACGGTCTCTGACCTGAAAATCTCTTTTTGTATAAGGCTGCATACAGGGTTGTCCAAAACGAATCGAATATTCGAAATTATTCGAATATCAAAGTATTCGAATACCTTTCCGGCTCATTTCCGAATAATTACGAATAGTAGTCACTTTTCGCCGTAAACACAGTGTTTCGCTTTACCGGAATCTTCAAACGACTTTTTACGCTTTCTCGCGTTTTGTAATTTAATGACGATGAAATAGAGTCGGCATTTTGATTGTTTATATTCAGCGCGAATGTACGTCGCATAGTGTTGCGACACATTTGCACGTTTGCGTTGGTGGACATTGCCGACATTCTTCTTAGTCTTCTCAAGCATAATTTGTGTTAACCTTATATTTGGTTCTTCTGGGTCTGCCAATCATGATATTTAATCGTAGGCCGGTTATTGTTACTTAAAAACGAAAACACGGCCACCGCCACCGAGATAAAGTAAGTGATTTATGACCCTTTGGTTTGCCGATTCAGCAGAAAATGACAGGGACATGAAACACAGCTGTGAAATAACGCGTGGACGTACCGTGTGGAACTTATCACTTTCCAAAATTATTTCAACATTTGGGTTGATAGGTTGTCCAAAATGATTGCCGCTTTAAAATTTAAATTTACCGCTTCGTTGTTGAGAATAGTTAATTCTGTGAGTATGATTCTACTAAACAAACGTGATCTGGTTCTAAACATTATTATTAGCGCATATTAGCATAACTGAACAACAGGGAACAATTTTTCTACCCGTCTTCTTGGAGGCCTATATGGAAAACCCCCTTTTTTGAGTGCAAAAAATATACATCGTCCTATTTGCCATGTAGACTTATTAGCCGGGAAATACGGTATTTATAGCCGTAATTGTTACGATATCCAATAAATTGTCACAAGTTGGGAAACAAGTTGATTTATTAGAAAAATACTTTCACCCGCTTTCTTGCAAATAATTTTGATAATGATGGTCAAAAGTATCAATAATGAAAGTATTAATACCAAATACTACGGTTATTTGTGGGCATGAAATGTGTGGTAAACTGCCCAATTATAATGAATTTCGGATTCGTATTTACAAAATAATAAAATTATTATATCTCAAAAATACAACGGCGATTTGTGGACTTGAATGTGTAATAAAGTATAAATTATTTTTCCGACTTGTGACAATTTTTTCGTGAGTACGAAAATAAGAATCAAAAATTAATTATATTCGGGCACAATATCACGGCATTCTGGACATAAATTGTGAGGCAAACTCGCGATTGATATTATTTTTTGATTCCTATTTTCGTATTTACAAAATACAACGGTGATCTGTGGACATTGAATATGTTGTAAACTACCCGATTATAAATAGTTTTCGTATTTATAAAATAATAAAAGTATTATTACACAAACATACAACGGCGATCTGCGGACTTAAAATGTGTGGTAAAGTTCCCGAATATAATTACTTTTTGATTCGTATTTTTGTACTCACGAAAAAATTGTCACAAGTCTGAAAAAGAACTCATACTTTATCCCGCTTTTTGACAAATAATTTGGATAATGGTTGGTATTTAAAAGTATGGGCGTTTTACTAGGATGATTTTGTGTTGCGCAAGCATTCAAATCCATCACCGATACCACTATTTAAAATGCCTTGTCGTATTATTTTAATTCTGTTAATTAACACAACTCATGTTATATAAAATATATATCGCAATAATCTGCAAACATGAAATGCCTGGTAATATAGCCAGGTTGTAAATAGAAGTTTTCCCATTGTTCATTGTATGAAAATTCCTTCATACACTTAGATTCTATTACTGGATTTTAATTTCGAAGTATTCGAAATTTCGGTGACAGCACATTTGAACATACGTACATTTGAACCCGTACATCTGAACCCGTAATTTGAACCCAGGACAATTGCACCTGTATACTATTGCACCTATGGACATTTGCACCTACGGACATTTGAACCCATACATTTCCACCCATGGATTTTAGCACCCGCATATAGATTGAACCCGCGGACATTTGAACCCGTGTACGTTTGCACCCGCGTACATTTGAACCCATGTACATTTGAACCCGCGGAAATTTGAACCCGTGTACGTTTGCACCCGCGTACATTTGAACCCATGTACATTTGCACCCGCGGACATTTGAACCCATGTACATTTGAACCCACGAACATTTGCACACGCGGACATTTGAACCCACGTACATTTGAACCCGCGTACATTTGAACCTACATACATTTACACCAGCGTACTTTTACACCCGCGTACAATTGTACCCACAGACATTAGCACCCATGAACATCTACGCCCATGGGCATTTGCATTTAGAATATCAGCGTCTTTACATATACACCCTTATCCTTCCATGCTATATACCAGGGCTACTCAACTGGCGGACCGCGGTCCGAATCCGGACTTTCCAAGTATTCGATTCGGACCGCGTATGATATTTTTATTCCAGAAGATTGTCTCCACCTAATTTTGGATATGTATAAGGATGTGGAATATTTCGCGGTTACTCAGTTTTCCACAACTCGCTTTTTCTTGACTTTGTAACCGAAAAGATCGAGTCACTAAAATATTGTTGGGCGCAGTATGAAGTACATTATTTGGCCAGACCGGACCCCAGGAATTTTCAAGTTTTGTATATGGACCTTTAGCAAAGATAGTTGAGTAGCCCTGCTATATACTATAGTATATAGGATTGGAAGGTACACTTAGGATTCTTTCTCCAAATGCATACGTTGCGAAAACACCATGGAATTCTCGATTATATACTCGAAGGCTTTATTACAACTATTTTCTATATATTTAAATTATATTATATATTTATATTATACTCCGTCTGTCATTGTCATCGCAATTGTCGATATCATAAGACTCAATGGACAAAAATGTTCCGCTGTAGAATGCGAGCCAAAATTGGGGAGTATGATTTGTGCTTTGAACGGTCGACGACTCTTGAAGAGCGCGATCAAGAATTTTAATTGATGTGTTAGTTCGATCCCGCGCAATGTTTTTCCTCGCATCAATGCCATTTTTCCCTCGCAGATAGTTCGATCCCGCGAAAAGTTTTTCCTTGCATCAATGACCTTTTTCCCTCGCAGACAATTCCAAACTGTTTCTTCAGGACGTTGCAGCTGCGAAGATGACAAGTCCCTTTGCGAAAATAAGTTGGAAACATGGCGCCTACATTTTCCAAGACCACAAGAGGAAACGACTTACTGATTTACAAAGTCCACGAATATTGTAAGCGAAATGATTGGGTTTCAGATGATTGGCTGTTGTTACGATCGGTGAAAATGTAATAAAAGAACTAGGATATCACAGTCATTCTGGCGACAGCATTAGGACTGAAGTTGGGATCATCCGTGCAACATTAAAAGAAGCAGCATCAACACCATCAAATACATCGACAAGATATATTTTAGGTGAAGTATTGAATAATAGATCAACAGATGTACTAATGCTCTTGCCAGGCAAGTCGACTCTGGAGGCCGATATATGCAGAGTAAGGCGACAGAAAAATTGGTTACGTACGAATCCTACAAGTGCAAGCTTTGATATTCCGAGCCAATATTTAGATATCATTTTGCATGGCACTGGCCCGGAGGATCGTCATCGGATTTTGGCCATTGGAGATCGATCACTACTTGCACATCTAGATAGTGACACATATCTTGACGACGGTACATTTGATGTGGGCCCGATATTTTCTTCCAGTTGTATACAATTCACTGTAAAGTGGGAGCATCCTATCTACCATGCGTATATTTCCTATTACGAGACAAGCGACAAGAAACATACGTTCAGATGTTGGAAGTGTTGAAAATCATTTTCCCAAATGCTAACCCCACCAAAATCATTGTTGATTTTGAAATAGCAGCTATCAATGCATTCCATGCACAATTTCCTCTGGCCGATATTAAAGGTTGTTATTTTCACCTGTCACAAGCTATAATTCGAAATGTTGGTTCTATCGGATCAAAAAAGAAGTTTGAATGTTTACCCTCTTTCAATCTGAAAATTAGAAGTTTGGCAGCTCTGGCTTTTGTTCCCATTAACGAGGTTGCCGAAGTCTTCACCTTGCTTTGCGACACCTTCGACGATGCGCCCGAATGCAATCAACTTTTGCAATATTTTGAATCTACCTACATTCGTGGACCTCAAGTGGGTTCACGTCCAAGAGAAGCAAGATTTCCCCCTCGATTGTGGAACTATGCCAAAGAGATTAAAATCATGCCTTCGGCCCCAAGAACAACAAACGCTGTAGAAGGATTTCACAACGCCTTACAAGAATGTTCCGATGCAAACATCCGAGTATATGGGGTTTGCTGAATGGCCTACGAAAAGACATTGCAGTCCACAAACTGACTGCGGCAAATGCTCATGTAGGAGTTACGGCCCACCAAAGATCAAAGTATGTACAAATTGCTGTTAGGTTGTCAGTTAAAGTTTTTTCATATGGAACTGAAACCGACAAGCCTTAGGTATCTCCACTCAATAGCTCAAATGCAGTCTATTTGATTTTGACTTTGATCGTGATATCGTAAAATTTCGTTTATCGTCATTATTTTGATTTGTTGTTTAACTATTGTATCATAATTGATAAATTCCTATTTGTAAAACGTCAATAGCTACTCTATCTCAAAATTGATCGCCCATTCGACACAAATTTGTGAGTGATAACTTTATTGATATATTAAAATAAATGTAATCCGTAACTTATGACGTCGTTTGTAAATTGCAATATCATATTTAACAGACCTGACCTGATATGCTGAATATGTTCGATTTACTCTAAATAGTGTAAACAGCAAAAACCATTTTTGGCCACGATAATGATTTTAAAACTTCTTCACTTTCGAATATTCAACATATTTACATGACTTACGATTTCTATGTATAGTTTAGTTCTGACATTCTAATGAAACAATACTTCAATAAAACTGGCAATTGGCTATGAACATGTTGTTACAAAAATGGCATAGTTTCATTATCTTAATTTCATATTTTCTTAGAAACGAAGAATCTGTGCGTTTATTTATTTATATACAGACAATAGTATTCAATTTATAGATTGATTTTAGGAAAAATGGCAAAACCTGATTTGAGACAACACTCATTTTCAACAGTAAAGCGTGGTCGTGTATGCATACATATAACAATTTTGTAAACATGCTAGCAAGAAAACATGAAGTGGCCACAGAGCTCCCAAATCTCATGCTGGGCGGGATATCATAGTAGGCGTTTTCCGTGCAATAATTTCAGAACAAATTTATAGGAGTTGACCACTAAAAATATTACTGTAAAGCTAGTTTTAGTAAGACCCTCATTTAAGACTTCATTGGTCTGTGAGATATTTGTTCCGTATTAGCCCTGGTTTCAGGTATTCCAAAGAAGTACCGCTTTCTAGGTCATCGTCTGTTTTGGAGATCGCGGCTAACGAATGAGATAAGGATTTACAAATGTCAATGTAAAAAAAACAGCAAAAGAAAAAAGACCTTGGCAGAACAATGTTGTTTATATCGTTAAGAGACTTTTATCCCTCGGACTACAATGACACTCAAAAATGCTTGCTTCGTAGAAGCGGGTAAATGCATATACACCAAAACTAACTACAAGGGAAACAGTGTTGAAATTTAGAATATTGAGCTTGCGCCTGTAACATGAAAATTATTTGCGACTGGAATTTGCCGTTGGGGCAAACATTTTTTGTGAAAATGTACGTGGGTTCAAATGTACGCGGGTTCAAATGTACGCGAGTTCAAATATAATATACGTTGGTTCAAATATACGCGGGTTCAAATGTCCGTGGGTTCAAATGTACGCGGGTTCAAATATACGTGGGTTCAAATGTCTGTGGGTGGAAATGTACATGGGTTCAAATGTCCGCGGGTGCAAATGTTCGTGGGTTCAAATGTACATGGGTTCAAATGTCCGCGGGTGCAAATGTTCGTGGGTTCAAATGTACATGGGTGCAAATGTCCAGGGTGCAAATGTACATGGGTTCAAATGTCTGCAGGTGCAAATGTACATGGGTTTAAATGTACGCGGGTGCAAACGTACACGCGTTCAAATGTCCGCGGGTGCAAATGTACATGGGTTCAAATGTACGCGGGTGCAAACGTACACGGGTTCAAATGTCCGCGGGTTCAATCTATATGCGGGTGCTAAAATCCATGGGTGGAAATGTATGGGTTCAAATGTCCGTAGGTGCAAATGTCCATAGGTGCAATAGTATACAGGTGCAATTGTTCGGGGTTCAAATTACGGGTTCAGATGTACGGGTTCAAATGTACGCGGGTTCAAAGATAATGGAACCGAAATTTCATATTCGAAAATAATAATTTCGAATGTATTCGAAATAGTGAACTATTCGGTATTGGCCATGCAGCCTGCATAGTAGCAGTCGCTGTAAGAGTTCACTATTTACTAAGCTGATAAGTCAACATAATTATAATACAACAAACAAAAATTCAGTGTTCCCATGTTTAAATCATCTTGTCTGTATATATACTGTGCTTTCTACAGAGACTATTCCAAAGAAAAATAATAACTTTATGGTACAGTTTATGGAAACTGTGTAGTCAGGAAATATTGTTAGAAAGGGGAGCACTATTCTTAAGAAAAATTTGTTAAATTATAGTCTTGGAAAGTTTTGTATAAGTATACCTGTGGTCTTTGAGATATTGAATTGGATATTATTCCTGTGGAATTTATTAAAGGTTGGGGTTGGATGCAGACATGTTGCTAATTATGAATACAAGTTAGATTTTGACCATGAAAACATAAAACTATTGCCTTAAAATAATACTGATGTACTGGTAATAACATACACACAGAAAAAATTTCAAATGAAAAATATACAATCCCTCATACAGAAATCAAATCATTTTGTGGACAGGTTTTGAAAGACGTGGTGGTATTATGCTCGAAAAAAAAAATGAATATTGTAAACTGTTTTTCTTTCTGAATAAGGCAACAAGGAAGCATTCGCTGATGTGTAAGAACTTACTATTGACTAAGCTGATAAGGCAACTTAGGTACTTATAATATGGCAAATAAAAATTCAGTGTTCCCATGTTAAAATCACCTTGGCTGTATATAATATAATTTGCCATCTCTAGAAACTATTTCAGCGAAAAATGCCATAAGAAACTTTGTTTAGTGTAGTTTACTAAATAATAACTATTGAATGGTAAAGTTTATAGAGACTGTGTAGCCAGAAAATATTGTTAAAAATGGGAACACTATTCTTGAGAAAAATTGTTAAGTTATAGTCTCTGAAAACCTTTTTGTATAAGTATACCTGCGGTCTTCGAGATATTGAACTGGATAGTATTCCTGTGGAATTTATTACAGGTCTGGTTGGATGCAGACATGTTGCTAATTATGAATACAAGTTAGAGTTTGACCATGAAAACATAAAACTACTGCCTTAAAAAGATACTGATGTACCGGTAATAACATACACGTAGACAAATTTTCAACTGAAAAATATCCCTCATACAGAAAATCAAATCATTTTATATAGGGGTTTCGCAAGACGTGGTGGTATTATGTTCGAAAAAAAATGAATATTGTAAATTGTTTATAAAACATATCTTTGTCCTTGACTTGAAAACAACTCCTTTTCGACAACCCATGTTGTTGGATACGGTACATTGAAATCTGTGAAATCGTATTTCTTATCCATGCCTTTTGCCTCAAACAAAGCCCTCACAAGCGTCCACTGATATCAGAAATTAGTTACCAGTTGCAGCTTTGCCAGGTTATATTACAGCTAGCTCCCTATAGCCAGCTGAGGCAACGAAATTTTTTTCAATGTCCAAACAAACTAGAATATCTTACAATACTATTCAGATGTAGTTACCTTCAGGAAATGTCCGATATAGTTAATTTAAAAAGTTAGATTTATGCCAGACTTTGTGGTGTGGGGCATCTGGCTAAGCATTAGTGATATGCTTGCCAACTCACCTCTGATTACCCTGCATGGGTTCGCAAGTCTAATTCAATGCAGGGATAGGTATGTACGGAAGAATTGTTGGACTCCTCGTCGCCATGGGGTGGTTCACATAACCCTGGTCGCTCACCGCTTACTCCGCCATCAAGTACATGCTTCCGAAAACAAAATAACTAACTAACTAATCCCATATCCTACATGGACTAGTATCCGGAGGAGAGGTCATGATTCGTCATATGATTAAGCCTACCTTAGTGGCTTTCCTCTCCCCCGGCATAAATAAATGAATCCTATGAGTTGACAGTGAGGATGGCGGAGATGCGTGATTTACTATTTCAAAGAAACATTTTCAAATGTAAAATATAGAGAATATTCTTAATTCTGCAATATTTGATATTGCATGGTTTGTTTGTCTGGATATCAGTCTAGGTCAGGGGTGTCAAACTTGTTTGTTTTCGGGGGCCGCATTGCATTTTGGAAATTGTGCAAAGAGCCGCAGACAGTTTTTGATATATTTTTATAATGTATACTTGGAGCATATTTTAGATAGGTGTAGTTTGTGACATATATTGTGATGCAATTAAACAGCTGAATGAAGTTTTATTTTTTTCTTAAATTACAAATGCCATTTACGGTACATATTAATTTTTCTGCATTTCACTGTTATTGCAATTTACTGTATAATATAATACTGTATAATATGTAGAAAGAATAATACATGCACTAAAAATGACTTACCGTAATCTAAATATATAGACCTAAAATTTACAAAAATACTACAGATGGCGCAGCGGTGTGGCTCATTGGGCTAAGCGTTAGGAATACGCTCACCACCGCACCTCTAATTACTCTGCGTGGGTTCGCAGGTTTGAATCCCATGCAGGGATGGTTATGTGCGAGAGGATTGCTGGACTCCTCGCCATCGTTGGGTGGTTCACGTAACCGCTGGTCGGTTACGGCTTCCTCCACCACCAAGTCCAAGCTTCCGAAAACAAACAATATATATAACTAATCCCATACCCGACTTGGAATGGTAACCGGACGAGAGGGCGTGGTTCGCCATATGGATAAGCCGTCTTATCGGCTTTCCTCTCCTCCAGGATAAATATGTAAATCCTATCCTATTAAACTCAATGTTTTTTCATTATATATGTCCTGATGCTTGGCATCTCTTTTGTGCCACCAGCTTGCTATATCAGGCTTAAATAATTTTACAGTACCAACTCAATTAACGAGGTCACAGGATCATCGGTTAATCTGGATCGTTGAGAATGTTCGATTAATTTCAGTAATACCAAAATATTACGTTTATCATTTCATGTATAGATCAGTAAACAAACAAATGACTGACTTTATGGACCAAACATTTCCCGCCACATTTTGCGACATTTCTAACCTTTACGTGGCATCCGGCGCTTGAGTTATGGTCGATATTGATTTTTAGTAACTAGGTAGTTGTACAAATATAATAATATACGAACACATAACAATTTTCTGTTCGTAGTTGATCTTGAATTTGTCATATTGACTGCTGAATTTATTCTGATAATGTCTACTTATATTGTATTCTTTCATTGAACTGATGGAAATGTGACAAATTAAACAATGTGCTTCAGAATTTTGAGAAATGCAGAAATATTGCAACTCCATAGTCCCAACTTCCTTCAAATATACTTTTTCTAGCTTGAGGTGTATCCATAATTGGGTCAAATGGAAAACAAATAAAATTTTGATTTTAAAAAACTACTTTTAGTAAATTGTCGTTTTGTGTGTGAATAATCAATTTCAATTTGAAAGGTTTGAAAAATGTATTACATTTAGATAAGAAAACTTCCAAAATATTACAATTATTGTTAAGCGTTCGAGGGCCGCATTGGGAGTTCTCTGGGGCCGCATGCGACCCGCGGGCCGAGAGTTCGACACTCCTGGTCTAGGTCACTGTTTTCACACCTATGAGTCATGTTGACACAATGGTTGTAGAAGCATAGTCAAACTTCATACTAAAAATTGTTGATGATATTAAAATTAAATCTATATTTTATTTCAGGTACAGGAAAGCTGGTCTATATTGTGATTTTACGATCAAAGTTGGTTCAGAAAAATTTCGAGTGCATAAGATTATTTTGTCTACTGCAACTGATTATTTCAAATTAATGTTTCGACATGAGGTTAGTATATTTGTAATATCTGAATACAAATATAATAGTTGGCATTATGGCTTAGTCAACCCAGTTCAAATCTCATGCCCGCCACCTCACCCAGGATGGGCAATGCCAACTGAAAAGATTCTGGTTGTTCCCAAAGTAATAGATTCTAGCTATTAGTGACTGCTTATACTGCTTTGTTTGCAATAAAAACCGTGAAATATAAGTCATAAAAAGTGAAAGCTAACTAGTAAAAAAAATCGAACAAATGTTCATCGAAGTTTCCATTCAATGACCCTAGTTCTGTAGTCTGTTGTGATCCTGGGTTAATAGTCCACCATGCGAGGGTTACGAATACATACTAATTACTAATACAGGATCCAGTATTGCCCCAAAAATACTTATACTAGGTTAAGATGGTGGTATTGGCCTAACCATGGAGTAAGCAGGGCTCAAACTCAACATAATATGACAACACACGAATCTGCCCTGGAAATATAGAAACCCTCCCAGGGTTCCCATAGACATAGAAAGTGCAATAGAGGGTTTCAATAAAATGGTACACGAATGATATATGAGGCAAATCTTGACAGTGTGATGTATTTACTTACAACTTACACCTCCAAAATGCTTTTTCAGACTGTTGAGACTCTGTCAGGTGAAGTTGATATCCAGGGCTTCAGTTCGGATACTATTGAGAAAGTTATCGAGTATATCTATACTTCCAAATTCCCCATTGATGAGACATCTGATATCGCATCATATATGCAATCTTCTCATATGTTCCAACTGGGAAGTAAGTGTTTTTCTACTTGGAACCCTTCATTTAAAACCAATAAAGTAGATAGTCTCTCCATATTTCATATAACAACGTGACGTGACATTTATCAACAAAAAATCGGGTCGTGCATTCGAGAAAAAATGACACACAATTCCAAACTCTGATTCCGGTTCTAAATATTGAATGCAGGTTGCCAAAATTTTTGACCCCGTCTTCGTCTCCCAAATTCAGGTTATAAAAATATTTGGACCATTTGTCAAGTTTCAACTCTAAAACTAAATTTTTGAGTTTTTGAGCTACCTTCAGAAACATTGGTTTTAGTTATCCCCTTCAAAAGTCTGCAATATTACAACTTCAACTCCTGACTGCAGAGAATTGAGAATTTTGAGTCCGACTCCAGATTCTTGGAAAGTTTGAAAATACAAATCAGACTCCAATATCAATAAAAACAAAATGATCAAGACAAATCAACTTATAAATTTTTTTATTTGAAAATGATTTGAAATAGAAGACACATCAAAGTCTAGCTCCTTCAATAACGCTTGATAATCTACAGCACGGGTGTGCGACCTGCAGCTCGCGGGCTAAATGTGGCCCTCAATGAAAATTTATCTGGCTCGCAGAGTTAAGTGGCAATTTTGAATGATGAGGTCCTGTAAAATGACTTTTCAATTTAATTTAATTTGGTACGTGCGAGTAATTCCAATCCCTTTGCATTGCGAAGCCTATATCGGAGTTAAATTTATCTATGTCTATGACTTTTTAATGCCCCTAACAGCTAGCTTGTGCGAACGACGCATGTCATAACATCAATGACACCCCTGACCTACAGTATTTACATAGTTAAATGGTTAGAGCCATGGCGGGTTGAACAAGGGTGAAATTACCACTGGATATGTCTTTTCTTTCTCATATTTTGTATTTTTTTAATAATTAAATTATTTTTTAATAAAAATTTTCAGAATTATGTGGTATCGTAACTGAATACCTGGAACAGCATTTGGGTCCCAAATCTTACTTCATCACCATAAATATTTCGAAGTTGTACGATCTGAAACAACTCGAAGCAAAATGTGATGAAATTGCTTCCAACAACTTTGCAAAAATTGCAGAACTGGATGAATTCAAGGAAATAGATGAAAAACAGTTGGTGGGAATGATCAAGGCCAAGGAAAACACGGTTAGTGGAATATTAGTTATTGAGACTCTCATTTACACTTTATTATAGATGAGTAGCACTGTATGATAGGATTTACAATTTCGTCCAGAGGGAGAAAAAAGCCACTAACACTGCTTAGTCATATGGTGACTAGTCACTAGTCCATGCTGAGTATGGGATTAAGCAGCAAGTTATTTGTTTCAGTTAAATATACTGAATGGTGGAGGAAGCCGTAACCGAGCAGCGGTAGCGTGAATCATCTTACAGTGGGAGGAGTCCAGCAATTCTCTTGTTGATAATTATCCCCACCGGATTTGAACCTGCGAACCCACGTAAGGTGCAAAAGGGTGCAGTGGCAAATGTATTTCTAATGCATAGCACAAAGCACCACTTTGACGAGCCAGGCTCGCGCTTACTTGGCTCATAAATGTTTGTTTGCACAGGCCTAAGGATTTGTGGTTAGTATTATTAATGCCTAGTCCAACTCTAAAAGGTATTAATGGTGGTTTACGGTTAATGTTCTATAGTGAAGTAGTATATTTCACGAAAAAAGGGACTCCATCTTCGCTGTAAATGCCAGTTCTATAAATAGCATAGATTTGAAAATCGTCCTTCAGATATGTGAAATCGTTGATGTGACTCAGACGGAAAATGAACTACAATAAACTCCCTTATAATGGCTTAGTATTGGTTTATCATGTACTTTTAGTCATACATTCCATCTCTGGCCCTGTGATGTTTTGAAAAATATGATTTCGACTGCACCATACTTGGCAGAGCTATCAAGATTTTTTAAACATGAAAAAAACGTAAAATTAATGGTAATTTTCACTCGTAAGGCACGCATAAAAATGTTTACGTCTATCTACGCGCATTTCCGTCGGAAAAAGTAACATTTTTTGCATTGAGGGGGGCCTACAGTAATAATTAGAGGTGTGACGTCATCAAAATTGTCAATTGAAGCATTGAACTTGAATATTCTGTAAATACAGTCGTGAATTTCAGAGTACACTTCTTGCTATAATAGTGGTTTTGGTGTTGTTCTGTTGGAAAATAACACAAGAAAACGTTTGAATAAAAATTAATTAATTAGGAATAATTATTAACCCTCTACTAGACACAAAATCTCGCAAGTTCACTAGAAATTTGGAATTTTTGCGTATAGAAAAAATATTTTTAGAGGAGTGAGTTATAAACATATATTGCTGAATAGAACTCTAGCACACGCTATTAAAAAGCCATGAGTGAAGTTTTAGGGCTTAATGGTTGACAAAAAAATAACCAATGTAAAATGGCCCACGGGCGACCGGTTAGGTAGGGTTAATAACATTTTTGATTCTCAGACAATGTTGCTTATAATTCATATACCTACATTCAAGCTTGCTTTATCCTAATACCAGATTCCTAATCTTGGAAATATTAGACAATAATTTTCTTACTGACGGTTAAACTGCTCTTAAAATATAGCCATTAACTGGAAGCCATTCATATAATAAACAATGTCTAGCAAACATTTGTCCCAAGTGCATTCGCATCAAGCCTGGTCGCTTTTAATTGGGACACTCACTGACTCACACTAACCACTAGGAACTAACACCCAAATAAGTTAGAAATAGAAATGAAATGGAAATGCAGTCCTTCCACTTAAATTGTCAACTATGTAGTTATCTATATGCCAGGGATTGCAGACCTTTTTCAATGAATGGGTCAAAAATTATATTTTTATCGCGGAACAGAAGAGAGTGGTTCACAGATACTTGTTTGTTAGATACAATGTTTGTATTTATAAGAAACTTGTGAAACTAATCTTATAAGCTTCTGTTAGTGTTGGTGTAGTTTTGGGCTTTACTTTTGCAACACTTCTATCAGAGAGATTTTTCATGGCACTCGATATTAGGAAATTAGATTCTGAAACCATGCATATGAATTACCAAAAACGTTTAAGATGATGCGGCAAATTATTTTATGTTACCAAAGAGTTTGGAGGGAATTCCACTCTGATAGTTTTATAATTTTCGATCAGCTTTCAACCACATTAAGGCAGTTTTACACTACCCCATTGGTATTTCAAGTCTAAAATATTTTATTTTTTCAACGGCATTGTAGGCGAGAAACCAATAAAATGCAAAGTAGCATCTAGTTCTCGTATAACCCCTAAAACAGTCTGCAGATGCACTTCCGAAAGAGGCAAGATGTTGCGAGAAATGAACAGATGAATTGCATTGTTATGTCATAAACGATGTCAGAGCCAATAGCTGAATAACGGTACACAGCAGTGCAGACATGCGTCCAATCTTAGGGGTTTGGAAATTTCCATCACTGATATGTTAGCATCGTCAAAACGAATTTGATTTTCAGAGAAACTTCACAAGTGATTGTGACCAACCAAACGCTGGTTCCAGCTAGGGTCCATTTACTCCAAACAATAGCCATGGCAGTAAGCCACTAATACATGAAATGTACCTACTATTTCCTATGACTGTCATAAGACTCAGAAATCTATAACCGTTATTCCTATTAGGCAACTGAAGAAGAAAAATGCCTGGCTTTGATGAATTGGACAAAATTCGATGAGAAGAAACGTTCAAATCGGTTTGTCAAATCTTTCAAGCAACTGGATTTGACTAAGATATCACTCTCATATCGCAGAAATCTTCTGGAGCAAGATGTAAGTCTTTCATTATTTGAATTCCTATTCAGAAACTTGTAAAGGCAATATCTATATTTAATATAGTGAGTTTCATAATATTCTAGATGTTTGCATAATCTTTGATGTGGGACAAAGGCCAAGTCCAAGTTTGCTATTTCGAAAATTGACAAGTTCTTTTGTATCCAAGGAGTTCTTTATTCTCGGATATATTGACCATTAGTACATGGTGAAACAATAAAATTGATCATGTGGCAACCATAACTCACAGTTAGGTCAAGTACAATGAATTAGGTATTTAATTTCCGCATTTAGTTGGTGAAATACGCTATTGAAAGATTGCACAAACACCAAGGGGTGCCAAGTTGTCAAACAACATTTTACATCCTGCTATTTGATTATTTATTTGACTATCTTTAGAGCCTGATTGGTTCGAATGCTGAAGTACTCAAGATAATGGCACTTTCGTTTTTGGAAAGCAAGACTGCTGCATCAGATTCTGAAGGTAACTTGGAACAAACATTTATTACTACTCATATTATTTTAATTTTTAATAATTTTGTTTTGGTCATTGTAATTTGTAATATGCTGACTTTTTTCGATTTATTTTAACGTAAAAATTTCTGATTGATCTTTTATAATAGTCAAATCAGGAAGTCATATTTATTTTTGGTTACTTAGTTAAAGATACTTGTTCAGCTTGACTTCCTGAGATTCGAATATTCACAAAGCTCTTTACAGGCAGCCACATTCTCTCAATTCAATTATCACAAGGCTTTTTACAGGGAGCCATCTTAGATATCATTAGTTTTGATAGAACTGATATTTTACCATTGTGACATAATTATTGGATTAAACTGAACACATTTTAATTCACTGGCTGCTGCTCTACTGTGGGCGGCGGTGGAAAGCAAAATGTTTCAGGCAATAATGAAAACATTTTGGACAAAATACCAACTTTGACTTAAAATTATTAATTTTACCTGCTATAGATGGCTTTAGCATACAAGCATTTTTATATTCCAGACGATGCGTTGGTCGTTTTCGACAGGACCTCTTTCCATCTCAAACAGTTCAATCCAAGGTCAAATGAATGGAAGCAAATGCAGGTAAGCATCATCAGCTTTGCATGACTATCTGATCACACTGAAAAATCTTTCTTGCAAATGGAAGGTCATGCATGATGTTGCAAATATAACAAATAAGTCTATTATAGTGAAGAAATAATTTCAGCCAACTTTTGTAATGGCTGAAATGATTTTTGCTTTGGAACAAGGCCCCACACCCCAATCGAACCATTTTTCTTGCCCACATGATAGGCTGAAATTTTTTCTTTCAACACGGGAGATCGACGAAATATGAGGGAAAATATTTCTCACCCAAATGCATTTTATTTGTTTGCAGTCTATGTTTGATGAAGATGGGCTTGATATTTTGACATAAAGTTTTGATTTTTTATGGGGTATCAGCTTCATCTTTTCTCTGAACAAGACTATAAACAAGCAGCCATTATTACGAACACTGTTGCTACTATTTTGGAATGTCGAAAATTGGCATTAATTACGATTATCTTACACCATCGGTAGATAAATAGAAATAGAGTCGTAAATAAACAAATCGGCACATTCTGATTTGAATCGAAAATAAAATATTCGAAACTGACATCCCTGGTGATAGTCATCAGGTTTGAACCATTGATCTTTAACTTGCAACACAAACTTAGATCTCAGTAGAGTTCCCAGGAATCTCAAACTCCCATTCTGTATATGTGTCATTTAATGAGTTGAAACTCAGAAAACTCTTTCTTTATATAGAAAATGAAGGACAACTTGAATTCAGAATATATCTCTGCTATTGCACTGAATCAGCATATGTACGCCTTAGTTGGAGGAACCTCATTCTATCGACTCAGATATGTCGATGTTAATGCTACATGGGAGGAATTGAAGAGTCCGTTGGAAGATCATGGATGGTTCCCCCCAATGACTTTGGTTAATGGTTAGTAGTGTATATACCTCAACTAATGACGTTTGGTTGAATAATTCTTTATTTCAATTCATATTACCAAATACTAATGTTTTTTCAGACATTTCCAAATATTCACTACTTTTTATGTTCAGTGTATAAATACTTTATATTTCAATTTCTTATTTGAAGCAATCGAAAATTTATAGCATTATTAAGGTTTCTTACTGAATCTATATACTTTGGTATCGATGACAAATTTAGATTTCGAACTAATATTCATGTCTGAGATACATTTTTTGTAAAGTATCTGTAATATCAAAGGTTGGCAATATATTTGAGTGAAATTTGTTTGAACAATTTTCGGCCTTTTAACACAAATTAAAAATATACCCAATGTCAACAGATTACATTTCTATTGTAAGTGAAATGACTTCCCAATTTGATTAATCATAAAGTCTTGAATTGTAGTTGCGTGATAAACCTAACTCTTGTGCAGTAAAGGTATTTCATTGGCTTCCATTGTATACAAATAGCAATGAAAATCAATGGAGGTTTCTCAACAAATCCCAGGATAAAATCCCACCTCTACTGTGAACTTGTAAGAGATTCTATTCAGATTAAGCAGATGAATTTTGATTGCTGTGTTGGGGATTAAAGCTTTGCATTGCCCCTACCATTATGCCAATGCCGCTCTAATATATTCATATTTTAAAAAAGATCAAATATCCAATTTGAAGTTTTATTTGCATATCAGGTGAAATCTGGATTGTTGGTGGATGTTGGGGATTTAAAACAAAAACAGTGGAAAAGTATGATTCTCTGCGAAACCAGTGGACAAAGATGAAGAGCAAGAATGTTAAATGTGATGGTCCTGCAGTCATCTGCATGCAGGGTATGTTTTTTTCAAATCAGGTTATTTTATCAAATTCTCCTGCATATTGCCAGAGAGTAAAAAACAGAGACTTGTTTAGTTAGTAAACATCTCCATCATATTTCGATTAGTGGGATTGTCCAAGATATCGTGAGTCTGATTTTCTGGCTTTTTAATTATTCTGTAAAATGCATTAAGAGCAAGGAGTCTACGATGTGATAATTCAACCTCCATTTAATTTAGTAGCATAGCTGTCTGAAAACATAGATTGGCGAATGCTTCATTTCTGAGATTAATATTGCGCAATATTAATTGAAATAGTCAAGTTTTAATCACAGAAAAATAAAGAATTTAACCCTTTCCGTGCGGTGGGCACGTATATGTACCAACGTCAAAAGTCGCTAGATTGCGGCGGGTACGTTGATGTACTCCACTGTTTTATTTAGCAATCGGTCGCGAACTGTTTGTCTAGTTTTTCCGGGTTTTAGTTTATTGATAAGAAGTCTTCTTCGAGATTAACATAAGCGACGGTAAATCTCACTTTCCCTTATGCGGAACGAGGGTGTGTTTTTGAAATTTATGCAAATTTCTGTGTTTTTTGGGTGGTAATAGAAGACATATTATCCCTTCCATCTACCAAAGTATTTTGAGTTAGATCACGAAATTGCTACAGCAATATTATGCTATTGTTTGCCAACCACGAAGCGGTAACAGTAAAGGATTTAGCGAGTATTTCTATTTTTTATCACGGTTGGAAGTTTCAACTCCCAAGAAAAAAAATGCCTTCTTTCTATACGGTTTGTGACTCAGACCACCACTTTTAAAAATACTTTTTTTTTAATCGCCAATTGCAAGCTCTTTATATAAGCTTTCCAACGAGCTGTCAGTGGGCAGCAGAGGATCATTAGTTTTTCGTTAGTCGATCGATTAGTTGTGGGGGTACAAATGCATAAAATCGGCGTAGCAAATACGATTATTTAATAAAAAATAAAAATCGCATGGAAAGGGTTAATAAACATTTTTTATCAAATGTACGTACCATGCAGATGGATATATATCTCTTTTTGTTGAAAAATCCCGTCAAATGACAGTTTAAAATGGATAAATTGAAGCACCGTCTGTCGACTAAATATTCTGAGTTAACTTACGGTAGGTTAAAAATATATTTTCCAATGATTGCTGTTTAATAGAAGAATGCAAACATCAATAGGCTATGTTGGAATGGTAGCTTTTTTGATAAAATTAAATTTCAATGCAAGAACCCTTGGAAAGATTATATATAATATAACATTTAGGATAGGATTTACATATTAATCCTGGGGGAGAGAGAGGCCGCTAATATGGCTTATTCATATGGTAAAGCATGGCCTCTTGTACGCTTAATAGTTCATCTCGGGTTTGGGATTAGTTAGTCACATATTTGTTTTCAGATTCATGGACTTGATGGTGGAGAAAGCCGTAACCGACCAGCAATTTCGCAAACCACCCTACGAGGGTGAGAAGTCCAGCAATCCTCTCGCATATAATTATTCCTACATGAGATTCAGACCTGCGAACCCACACAGGCTAATCAGAAGTCCGATGATGAGTTTTTTCCTAATGCTTAGCACGTTAGTCACCTCGCAGAACATAATCACGTATTGTGAAAAGAGCAAAGTATTTTCATTTTTCAAGTTCATTATCAATGTAGTTCAAGATAAATATTATATCGCGCCTGATATGAGATCGTCGGAACCATTTAACACAAGAAGTGCTGCCAAGTGACAAATAATAATTGTTCCTATTTTCAAATACATGGCGTCCATCTAATTAATTTTTCTCATGTTTTATATACTTAGCAACCTTAGCGAAGCTCGATTTTTGCTCGATATAGTCCAACAATCAAAATTTTTTTCCTCCACTAAGTATTTTATGTTAGAGTGTAAAAAGGCTTTAATTTGGAACATTCCTATAAAGTTTGTGAGATCAATAGCCAAAAATGCTGCGGTACTCAAACAAAAATTCAGTGCTTGAATACCAGAGTGCACCACGGAGTGAGATTACCCAAAAATCACAACTGCCTCTTAAACATTCAACATGAGAGTGAAGCTCAAATATATGGACACGAGGGCCAAATCGAAGTAGTACAGTAGTACAATGTGTCACTGTAGACTACCAGTATGGTAACCTTTACGACCAACACAAAAGCGCAGCCGGCACATGGTGTGCAATTTTGAAGACCCTCATTGCACCTAAAAACGAATCCCATTCGGAAATACGCTAAAACGTAACATAACCGATACAAAATTTTGTATATTTTTATTTTTATCAAGTTTAAACTTCATAATGTATACTGCTAAATAATTATTGTCGTTTTGGTACACTTTTTGTTAATAATCATGGTAGTTTCGAACTAACTAAAATTATTTCCAATATTTCTTGTAGCAAAAATATTTCGGTATTTAAACAAATATATAGTCAAACATCAATTGAGATATGTTCAACTACCGATGTATGTTACTTCATGAAGCTAGTATTCAAAACGAATGCTTTGTTATTGTTCATGCTTTTCATTTTGAACAGGGGGTTGATATATTTCTTTGAACAAACTTTAAAAAATTACATCAGATATTTCACATTTTCATTTAAAATCCCAATATTATGTGATGCTGGTATGCTGGGAGCCAGAATTTTTTTTTTGCAATTGCAGGAAGCATTTATAGTTTGGGAGGAAGGGAAGGATCAAGAAAAACCAACAAAGCAGAATGCTTCAATCTAAATACGTCAACATGGAGTTTCATTTCACCAATGCTGAATGCAAGAGAAGACTCTGCTGCTGTTGAATTTCAGAATCGACTTTATGTGCTTGGTGAGTTGTTTTAAGTTCATTCAAGTCTAGATAACATGGAGTTCAAATTTTTTTTCCAGAATGATTAGATTCTATAGTTTAATACTAACAGACAGAGTTGTGTAGAGTTTAATAATTGTATATATCAAGCCACCTTTGATTTTTCCTACCATTGCGTGCTTTTACATTTTGTATTCACTACACAGTGACTAATGAGAGCCACAAGTAATCCTGAAATTGGACTAGTTCTGGTGTGGAAAAATTCATTGAAAAAAGTCCAAATTACTGTAAATAAGAGAAGAATTTCCATTCCTTTTCAAACAATACACTTATAAATGAGAAAGAAGGATATTTGAATACGCCTGGCAAAGCAAAAGAGTAAGGGCAGTAAGAATTCTTCCAGATTATCCCGTTAGGTGGTGCAACATTATCTACCTTTTTTGGATAGAAAGCTCATTTTCAAATATAGCGTGGTCATGAAAAGCTTTTGTGGTCTAAGGCAGGGGTATCAAATCTATATTACAGAAGGGCTAGTTACTAATAAGTGGGTGAAGCCGTGGGCCGCACCTAGAAACTCTACCTATAAAAGGCTCTGGATAACAAAAATCCAACTACGAAAAATTCTTCTTGTAAAAATATTGCTTCGGCCAATGTAAGATTTTCTACGTAAGAAAAGCAAAACGAGCGTAGTGATATTCGTTTATTGTGGGTTAATTTAATGCAGTGCTTGAGGAAGGGATGTCCCATTTGAATTCAATATTTTAATATCGCATCCTTCGAATATCGTTTTTCGCCTTTATAAGAATACAAAATATGATGCACATATGATAACAATCCTGTCCATTTTTTGATTTAAAACATTTTACAATTATTTTTTTGTCGAAATTCGAAAGCAGCTGTGTGCGATGTGGCGATAAATTATCTGTCATTCTATTGACCAATTTGTTTCCTGTGGGCATGTACAATGTGTTTCTAGCAAAATTTAGTGAGATAACGATAACAGTTAAAACAAAAGTAAAATGAAATGAAGAAAGGTGGAGATTTTGAATTTTATGTGTGTGTGTGCTCATTTTTACATTACGTTATCTCTCAGCTGTCAACTTTAGCTTTCTCTTCCGACTGCGCCGTCCTCCCACTCTCCACGGTCTTCGTTTAGTCTAGCCTAGTTGGCCGATGCCGAAGGTCAACAAATATACAGTTCGTAGGTCTTCTAAGTTTTAGATCGTATTTTTCAGTTTTACTCATCCCACCCAATTCTAGTCTATCTGGCATTTGATAATTTTACTTTACAAAAAATCATCTTATGAATTAAATTCAACTTCTTTTCTTATTATATTACACAACAAAAACGTGACACATGCCTTCATTTTAAAAATTGAACATAACTTAATATTGTACATATTCGAACATTATTTTTAGGCTTATGCGCAGATGAAAATTATTCTGGGATTGCCATTGAAATACACATGAATTTTATGAAATTGAAGTTTTTTTTGTAACTTCAGACAAAGGCTTAGCAAAATTCAAACAAACTATTTGAGTCGCAAAATAATTTACAAACTCCGCAGTCACATTTGATGATTTCTTTTCTTTTCAATCAAATAGTTAATTCAACTCCTGATATCACAATTGCATAAATATGATTCAAATTAATTTTTTTTAAATAATGTTTTTTTAGACATTTCTCCTATATGACTTGAAAAGCAATAACTGATCTGGATTTTTGCTAAAATTGAAATTGCTTGCACTTGGCAATAAATTTATTTCAAAATAAAAATACTCATGTTTTATGGAATATTTCTTCTAAATAGTGATATATTCAAGCTCAGTGCTGATGTTTACGTGAAATATTTACCTAACTCCCAGTGATATGTTGTCTAAATTTATATATAAGCCTATATTTAATGAGATATATCTTCTGAGTACATGCAAAAGCTGATATTTTGGATGTTTGGCTTACAAATGAATGACCAGCTTTGTGCTGATATTGACACACTTTTACTTTTTGTGTAAAAGGTGGATTGGATGAGGGAGATCTGAAAACTGTTGAAGCATACGACCCATCATCCAATTCCTGGACCATGTTTGCACCGATGATAATTGCTCGATTTCATCTCAAAAGCTTTGTTTTCAACGGGAACATTTATGCAGTTGGTGGATTCAAGTATGTATAGTTATATCATTATTATATCACATTGCATTCAGTTTCGCAGATACTAAATGTTCATCGTAATTACGTGATATTGGTTATAATAAGGTTACAGTGACTCTGATGAGTATTTTACTATTTTTTTCAAAGATGGATGACTGGCTTTGGCTTGTTTGAAATTCAATCTATAACTCCCATCTGCATAGGCGTGGCCAGGACGTCCCAAGGAGGGATCTTGACAAGAAAGTTCCCTCATAGTGGCTTTTAAAATAATCACCCGATTACTGGACTCTAGAATTAGGTTCTCATTTGAAGATGATTTATAAAGCGCTCTATATTTGAATAGGCTTTCGTGCTGAATTCATCCCCCTAAATAGGGGCATTCCTCCCAGTTGAAGTATTACCGGCTGGTTTAAATATATTAGGAAATCGACGACCAGTGCTATCAAGTATGACCCTACCATGAAGGTTTGTTCGTAAATCATGACTTCCTCTGCTGTTTAATCTAATCCAACATAGAACTCCAGTAACTCAGACCTTGCATGGTAACCCACTTAACCTGAGGGTGGAGTCTTGCATCCCACCTCAAAAATAACTGCTGTAGCTAACAACAAGCTACAAATAACAGATAATAAGGGGAAAGTACGTTTTATTTGAAAATCATGTCGCAAATATTTGGAGGGAACCTAAATATCCAAAATAAAGAAGTTTGAATATCTAAAATAAGGAGATCAAATCTAAGAAATAGTTTGATTTTCCATTAGTTTCCCCTCTACGCGATTGTGGGGCACCCCTACCATATGAGAACCACATATGGGTTTGGCAATTGCAAATTAATAAAAAATTAGTCTTTCTCACAAGTCCTAACAAATTTGTAAGCCTGTAGTTATGCATAGTATTGTAGCTTATTTTTGTTCTTAACTCTCTTTCAGTTCAAAGAAAACCATGGAGAAATACGATTCTGAAAAGAAAACTTGGGTGATGGTTGACATTCTCAAAGATATTGACCATAAAATAGAGGACTCAGTGAAAATAAAAGCCATATGAATATTCGCACCCAACATATGGACTTTCGAACATTCCACAGCTTCTAATTATTTTATTCCCATTTATCGTGGCACTAGATTTTGATATTTTGTATTTTGCAAATCAATCAAATATTTTTTCTGTTCAAATTGTAATTTGAACTCAGTCCCTGTATATCGCAAAAACACTTCCTCTCCTCGTACTGCCAATATTTTTATATTAATTTGTGTGCGATCAAATTAGGATAGAATTTACATATTTATCTCGGGGGAGAGGAAAGAAATAAGACTGCTCAACCATATGGCTTACCACGGCCTCTCGTCCAGTTACTATTTTATGTCGGTTATGGGATTAGTTAGTTATTTGTTTTTGGGAACATGGACTTGATGGTAGAGGAAGCTGTAACTGACCAATGGCTACGTGAACCACCCTACGACGGCAAGAAATCCAGCAATCCTCTCACACATAACAATTTCCACATGGGATCCGAATCTGCGAACCCACGCAGAGTAATCAGAGGTGCGATGGCGAGCGTATTCCTAACGCTTAGCATGTTGAGCCACACCGCCGCGCCCAATTTATAGCCCTGAATATTGTGAAAAGCCTTGCTTCCCAGCATTTAAACTCACTGCGGCAAAGTTCCCAACCCTGGGGATTTTGTAGGTCTTGGGAAGGAATTTTGTCTTGCACTTGCTGCGGAATTATACCATTCTTGAGGTCTGTTTATTACTATAATACCACATTGTAAACTACTTGATTTGTACAAAAGCGAGAGTGCGATTTGCCATAACAATTTCTACTGAGCTAAGGGTCCATTAAATATTGAATTTGATGAAAAAGGTTGGGAACCACTGCACTATGGGAAGAACTACTGGGGATTAGTTTAAAATATTCTAGTGTTAGGTTCCATTTTTAAGTACTGGGTTAAATTTATAATCCTCTTTTACATTCCTTGATTTTTAAAGTACTTCCTGAAACCCTCTAATTCAGTTTGCAAAATGGAAGTTTTTATTTCTGATTTTTGTGTCCACTGTTTGTTAAATTTCTTGTGCATATTCTGTTTACTCCTACAATAACAATATATCATATTAGAGGGAGTTACTAGTCGATTTGGAAGAAGCTTTCTAGTTCGACATGGACTGAAGGGACTCCAATTAGGGCGGTTATTGACGAACTAGATTGAATGCATTAAGATAAAAAAAATTGTAAAAATTGCTAGATAAAACAATGTTGTTATTGGTGCGACATGATATAGTCCAAGGTTAAACTAAAATGTGCCAGTAATATAGGATTTCAACATCTGCCACACCATGAGCATAATGTTTTTCAAGTAAACTAAATTACTTTTCATAAATGCAAGTATTCCCATATGCCTGTAATGAAGTTACTACTCCTACATTTTATGTTCATCCTTGAAATAGTTAACTTAATTGAAATTTGAGGGTTTTTATTCTCAAATATGCATTTTTTTGTTGTTGGAAGTAGTGAGTTATATGTCAAAGTAAATTCTCGTCTGGACATCAAAAATTTAAATTTTATGTATTTTTTATTCCAAAATACGCATCCTAATTGTTTTTAATGCTGTATCAGTGAGTTACATGTGCTCCCTATGCACTTTGCTATTATTGTAATCTGAATACCCGTACTTCGAGTTATATATTTTGAATTAATCAAGTGTTTCTGAGAAGAACACCTGGGTGATGATTGATATTCCTGAAGATATGAACCTTATATATAAAGGAATCAGTGATTATAAAAGTTTCATGAATATTCTCACCAGCCATATTGAATATCGAACGTTCCATTGTTGTCAATTTTTCATTTTAATTAGTATGACCATTTTTATATTTTGCTGGTCATTCAAATATATATTTTTTTATTTGCAATTTCAACTCCCTGAATATCGCAAAAAAACGTTTGCTCCCAGAACTTCCATTTATTTTATATCAACTATATTAACTTGTGTGTGATCAAATTAGGACAGAATAGGATTTACATATTTATCCCGGGGATCCTCTCGCTCATAACCATCCCTGCATGGGATTCGAACCTGCGAACTCACGCAGAGTAATCAGAGGTGCGGTGGCGAGCGTATCCCTAACGCTTAGCACAATGAGCCACACCGCCGCCCCAAATTATGGTCTTGAATATTGTGAAAAGCCTTGCTTCCCAGCATTTACACTCACTAGGGCATTGTTTCCCAATCGTTGAGAAATTTTGTCGGTCTTGAGAAGGAAATTTGCCTTGCCCTTGCTGCGGAATTACTAATATTGTCGAGGTCTGTTTTGTTACTATAATACTTCTTTATGCTCACATTATAAACTACTTGCACTGTACAAATGTGAGAATGCGACTTGCGCATAACAATTGCTACTGAGCTAAATGACTCAATAAGTTACTCTCTATGCATAGTGAGGGAGGCAAAAGTGTTCCAAAATAAAAAAAAAGGGAGGAATTTAACGAAAAAGGTTGGGAACCACTGCACTTGGCTAAGGGCTACTTGGTTTGCAATATTTTACACTCAGGCTCTATTTTTAATTATTTGGATTATTATAAAAATCCTATTTTACATTCCCTGATTTTTTTTTAATAATTCCTGATATAATGAAACCCATTAATTCAATTTGCGAAAATAAGTTTCTTTATTCTCTGATTTTTGTGTCCACCATTTGTTAGATTTATTCTGTATACTCCGTTTACTTCTACAATAACAATCAATCTTATTCCTGGAATTCCCCCATACTTGTATAGAAATAAAATTTGGAAAAGGATTTCTAGTTCGACATGGACTGAATTAACTTCGAGTTAAATTTAATGAATTAGTTTGTAAAAATTGTCATATACTATTGTTCTTGTTGCGATATCATCCAGTCTAAGGTTATAATACGCCAGTAATATAGAATTTCAACATCAGTCCCATATCATCTGAATTACTTTTCATGAATGCAAGCATTCCTATATACCTATATTGAAGTTATAGATACTACACCTAAATTTTATGTTCATCCTTGAAATAGTTGTCTTAATTGAAATTTAATGGTTTTATTCTCAAATATGCATTTTCTGTTGTCGAAAGCAATGAGTTATATGTTAAAGTTGACTAGATTTTTTAAGGCAATTCTCGTATAGATAGTCAATTGAAATTAAATTAATTTTTTTATTCGAAAATAGGTACGTTAATATTTTCCGCTGTAGAAATTTTATGTGTTTTCTTTTGATAATCTGATGTGTTTAATACTAATAAATTAAAAGTTCAAAATTCCAATCTGCGTTTGTAATGGTGTTCCTGAGTGTACTATGTCAGTACTGTATGCACCTATATGCACTAGTCTGAACTGCAACCGCATAATCTTTTTGTGAATCAGGTTTTTATTCCGTACCCTATGCGGGCTCGGCAGTGTAGCGCATTGTGCTAACGCTCTTCTTCTCACCTCTGATTGATTACCCTGCGTGCGTTAAATCCTGTGGTTGATTATTATGTGCGAGAGAATTACTGGACTCCTCGGCGCCATAGGGTGGCTCACATAACCACTTGTTGGTTACGGATTCTACCGCTATCAAGTCTATTTAAATAAAACAAATGACTAGATAATTTAACCCAATGCCTGACTTGGTAACAGGAGAGGCCTAGGTTCACCATATAGTCAAATCTTCTTATCGACCCTACTGTCCCTCGAGATGATTATTTAAATCAGGCAACCTTTTTCGCAGGAAGGCCAAATACAAATACTTCTGTTAAACTGCGGGCCACGCTTTTATCAAACATAGTCTTTCAAGTAGATGCAGACACAAAATATTTTTTAATATGGACGTGCTGCCCATGTTAATAATGCTGAAAAGTTCTATATTCACTTTTTGATATATTAATATATATTAATGACACATTGAATTTTCACCTTTTAGTGGGCATATTCGATAACAAAAACATACCGCATTTATTTAGATGAACCTCACTCAACATTGTGATGGGCGCGACTGCTTTTTGCCGCGCAGCAAGTCCAGTCGTAGGTCGCTGTTTGGTAATGCAGGCCACAATGGACCTTTCCCTGAGCTTCGACTTCCTTGTTTACTTCGTGACATTGGCCAATTAGCAAGATGCAAAAAGTGACGTAACAATGCTCCCTTTTCGCATACGCTCGGACACTTTTCTCACTCAGACAGATTTTCAAGCGTGGCCATAAACATTACTTTGTTTCCACGTTTTTGAACTTTATTCGTTAGTTTTCAGTTATGTTTCTGAAACTTAAATATGAATCAGATAATTCAATGATCACACTGTCTTTCTAGGAGTTTTAATTTAATTGCAGTAATAAAAAATTAATGTAGAAATAGCTGTGGTAGACTAGGCCAAAATTCTTTACCGGTACTTTTAAAAAACAGATTGTTGTATGCGATGAATCATAATGATGGTTTGAAACAAATACCCCATTTTACAGCCGCCAACTCGCGAAACCACTCTTTAAATAAGCCCCAAAAATTTTGCAATGGTAAAGTATAGGAAGAATTTTTCTGGCGTCAAAGGTCGGGGAAAGGTCCATTATAATTAATCACGATGTTTTGCCACTGACGGCATTGTTACTCACTCTTAAAGATCAAGTTTGGCGTGAGGCAGCGGTGCGTGTGGCGCAAACTTATCAGGAAACACTCACGGCGCACCTAATCTAAATAAAACACAATTTTGTGATCGTTAATGTGTACTTTATGCCTTTTGAAGTTTATAAACATGTAGGTCTAAAAAATAAAGGTAAAAAATTAACTCGTCCTCTTTATCACTGCCTGGTTTTCTCCTAAAATGGTAAACAAAATCACACATGTTAGCTGAACTCGGTTAAGCAAATGAATAAGCTGCAGCATACGAAATTGCAGCAAGGGTTTACATCTACTGTTACGTAACAATACGTAACAACGTTACAAAGGTAAAATGAAGTTATTGATTCATATACAGATCGTTTGAAAACATATAAAAAAGGAAGCATTCAGAACAAACTATGTAAAATATTCAATTATATATTAGTTAATATTTAACACAACTCTATTAATTTTCGAGGCGCACTTATTGCAATTCGTTTTCGGGGACCGATGGCTTAAATAATTCTCGATAATTTTTTTTAATTTTCTAGAATCAATAATATCAACGACATAAACAGAGAAGGAATAGCTTGCGTACAGACCAATAAAAATATATTTTGGATTCAATAAAAATAAAATGAAATAAATGTCTTGTTCTGTTTTATGGAGTGTATTTGGGTTTGCCAAATACAATACTGTTGTTAATGATAATACAAGGAGATCATTCATTGAGAGATTTTTAGGGAAAAATTGACTAAAAATCCAACCTCAATGGCTCTTAAAATATCATTGTTTATCAATGATTACGCCTTATTCACTGGGATTCAGAGGGTCTGAGCGAATCCGTTCTTGGAATGTTGTGATAATTAGCGAACCCGTTCTCGTTTTGTTTCTAGATCGGCACGGATTTATGAACTATGTTAATCTGTTGTAAGCGAGTTCGATGCAAAATAGAATCTGTTTTCAAAATGTTTCCAGTTTGTGGGAAAAAGCAACAAAAGCGTTAACGTTTGAAGCCGACATTGTTACGCAAGCACGCGCAAATCCGGTTTACGATCAGAATAGGTATATAGGTAACAGAATATAAGCCCTCCCCATAAATAAAATGTATAAGACCAAGTTTATAGCGCAATTTTTTTAAATAGTTCATAGAAAAATCTTTCTTACTCATTTCAAATGGTTAAGAATCTATGTTTAGCAGTTAATTCAAATAAAAACATGTTATTTATAAGTCCATAAAAATCGGTTTTCATATTTTGTATATTTCAAAATCTCGTAATCTCTACTTTGTAATTTTGATTTTCAAAAGTGAAAATGAAATAAATCCCTCTAAAATAAGTCCTAATGGTATTTAGTGAAACAAAATTGAAGACAAGTTTAATTTTCAAAAAAAATACGGTATAATGATGTATTCACTAGGAATCGTGAGATTTTGGTTTGAAACTAGTTTTAGGTGTTTCAAACCGAGTCTACAAATACATCTCAATAGATATAGTACTTGTGTAGAATTGGTGTTTACGACCCCTAAAACTGCTCTTTGCGGCACTAAAAAACGTTTTGCGGGGTCGCGGCCCCTAGTATGGGAAGCCCTGGGTTATAGCACTGTATTTTACCGTATTTCAATGTTTCAGAAAACAAATAAGTGAATGACTAATCCATACCCGACATTGACTAAATATGGTTCGCCATATGATTAAATCGTCTTATCGACTTCCCTCTCTCTTGGGATAAATATGTAAATTATACCTCTGTCCAGTTTCGGCGTTTTCATGAAATCCCCGCCTAATATGAAATCCGGTTACATTAGTGTGTGATTCTGTTAGTGACAGATTTTTTAGGTGTTGACTTCTTGCAGAATTGGGTGCTGGGAATAGACCTTAGTCATTTAAAACCCATCCTACGCGCAAAAATAAAAGAGATGTAAAAATTTTTTTTCAACATTAGCTCTTATGGGAAATGTGATCACCAGAGCAGAAATTTGCATTTTTTGGGATTCTCTAGATATGTTTCATCGTATACGTGTGTCGTTTTGAGGATAGAATATTTTTTACATTATTTTTGATATTTTTATCATGATAAACATGGTCAAGGTATTTGATAATCGTTCATTAAAATTTTGAAGATCGCGGTGTTTCCGATGACGTCATTCTCACTAGACCATGAGATTCTGCCAACTCGCAAGAGGTGAAACTAAATTATTTAGTAAATACTGAAATAGGCCTACGAACAAAAATGTTGGCCAGCCTGCCAATAGGCAGGATAAGTTGTACGGTACCGGTATACAGAAAAGATGAATATCTCCAACCTATAATGGTACAATATAGGCGCGGAGGTGTGGCTCATCGTGCTAAGCGTTAGGAATACGCTCGCCACCGCACCTCTAATTACTCTGCGTGGGTTCGCAGGTTCGAATCCCATGCAGAATGGTTATGTGCGAGAGGATTGCTGGACTCCTCGCCGCCGATGGGTGGTTCACGTAACCGCTGGTCGGTTTCGGCTTCCTCCACCATCAAGTCCATGCTTCCGAAAAACAAATACCTAACTAATTCCATACCCGACATGGAATGATAACCGGACGAGAGGCCGTGGTTCGCCATATGGTTAAGCCGTCAAATCGGCTTTCCTCTCCCTCGGGATAAATATGTAAATCTTATCCTTAATACCGGTCTCCTAACTAGGTTAAAAACATGCCTGAATACGAGAGAGAGATCAATTTCATCAACCAGAATACAAGCATTGAATCAATAAAAATTATATACCAAACACACAGTTATTCGGTATAGACTGGGGAGCGATACGATCATCATAGTCAGCTCGCCCCAGCCCCCCATGTTCGCTATCAAGATAAACAGTTAATTAAGATGTT